TATTTTTTGAAAACAGTATTGAGAAATCAATACTTCTCAGTGTGGTTTAGATGTGGCACACACTTGTGTCACTCACACCGTTTTGAAAAGAGGCTACTGACAGACTTTCATCGACCAGTGGCTATCTGCGTCCGAGTGTGTAGATCAGATGGTCTTCGGGAAGTGGCAAAGCGACAAGGAACACTGTAGGTCAGTGAACCAGTTGACAGTCTGTAGTTGAATAAAGAAATGTGCAAAATGAAATGAAGTTGGATTAGAAATTAGCCACAGGCATATCATACATCCGATTGATTAAGCCTGAGAAGGTGACACGGTGAGGTTTATGAGTATAAGTAATGTCAGTTTGTAGGCAATTAAAAGTGATGTTAGAAAACGGTGAACAGTGAGAAAGTATGTAAATTCTGAGCACAAATATCTCATCGAATTATTCATGTTATTACGTAACTCTTCTTTAACAATCGTTTGTGACAACACATCACTTTTGTTACTACCCTTTTATATCAACATCCAATTCATCTGAACTTATTAAGTGTATTTTCGTTTGGCAAATTTAATGTACACATACAAACATGCAAAACAACCATATATATATATATATATATATATATATATATATATATTTGATTTAATTTTTAATTTACAGCTAGATTCCATACTGTATTTTTGGTACAAGTATGGAATTTTCAGCATGGATATCGGTAGCCCAAATTTTGCAGGCCGACCATAGATATCAGGTGTGCGTCGGTGCGGGCTCGAACCCTGGACCATATGCATGGTCGGCGAGAGTCCTAACCACTGTACCACCGACGCACAAAAGCGCTCCCGCGCCGGGAGTCGACTGTACAGCTCTGAAAATAAATTCGCTGAATAGAGACTCTTCGCTGAACTACTGGTCTTTTGTCTATTAAACAGAAATATTTAAATTGTCACGTTTAGATTTAAAACGCCGATCTATGCGGTAAATTAGTCATCAGGTTCTGCATCCATTTGACGGTAATAATTACAGCAATATTCATCTTAACAACATCAGTAGTTAAAATTGCATTGAATCAATAGTATCGACAGATAACATTTTAGAAGCATCAGTAATACGGAGAGTGGTAGTATGCATTAATATAACACCAAACTGAAATAAATATCAAATAAAACGGTCAAGGACGTTACACAGAATTTATTGATTTATAAGCTTGACAACAGGCTTGGGTAGCAACAGTGACTGTTTTGAGGATTTCATCATGAACTGACATCCGTTAGAGAATCACTGGGGAGCCTGGGTGTAGTGGACGGTTGTTCCGTCCTTGTTTGTGACTCTTCGTCAACGAAATATGTGTCCTGAATTCGAACCTCAGCTGGTGCGTAGTGCTTGAAATTCTCAAACTAGGCTGAAACCAACCAGATCCCTTCAAACGAGTACTTGAATAGTGACTGTATACTTATCTGTTACACAGGCAGAGTTCCGGCTGTTTTAGACGAACTTTAATGCCCTCTACTATTTGCAATATTCCGTATTTATGATCTTTTGACAATTTTTTCGAGGCCTGTTCGATAACAGAGAAGGATTCGTCAGTGTTAGCTTTGTGACTTGTTTATACCAAGTTGTATACTACAGAAACGTTAATGGTTTTAACAATACCTTTATTTCACCACACTGGTAATTGTTTCCGAGCAAAAAAAATTAGGTTTGCAGAGCAACGTTAGAGGTGGCTTCTCGGCTACACTAGTTACTTCCAGATATTATCAGCTTTCAAGTGAGTTGATCACACTCGATAACTAATTATAAAGACGATATATTTGAAAGAATATATTTGTCACTCTCTGGCACGGAGCTTTGAATCGTAGATGTTTCATCATCAGGTATGACGACATTTTTTGCATTGTCTTTAGTCTTTAGTATTCAGTGCTTTATTACTATTATTATTCTTTTGGGTTTACGAGTGTAACATAGGGCTGGCTTCAACAACACATCTCCACTGCTTTCCTCTTTAACTAGGCCCACGACTGACCACAATCCCTTGTCTCTTCCTCCCCACACGGTCTCTTCTATATCATTCTCGTACCGACGACCCAGTCATCGCCTCCCATTGGGATTCCACTCGAGTGATGGCCCGCAATGTGCGTGATCTCATTCGACATCCTCCTCAAGGTATGCCCGATCCATCTTCATAGTTATGATAGAGAATATTTGTAGCTCAGGTGGATAATTTTGATGTGGTTTTGTTCTCTGAGCTGGGTAGTTAGTTTGCGAAGCTTTCATCACCTTACTGGGTGACATCTTCAGCGCATACTTCAAATTGAAGTATGCGCTGAAGATGTCACCCAGTAAGGTGATGAAAGCTTCGCAAACTAACTACCCAGCTCAGAGAACAAAACCACATCAAAAAAACCATCTTCATAGTAAATGATAACTGTTATTTAGTATTCTACCAAGATTGACAACTTTGCGCGGGGATGGCATTTGTTAACCAGTTAGATCAACGAGCTGATAGCTAACCTAAAACTCTTGAATCGAAATGAAACTGTCGGCCAATAAAACCATGACTCCTTGAGTGAATCACATCCTTTGTAATGGAATGATCATTTGTAAAATCCCTCCTGACAATGTTGATACTTATTTAGGTGTTTAAACTAACTTTGTAATTATTATCCGTTTTTTCTCCTAGATTAAATGCCACTGTTATCACATTTGCAAGTCACACATTCAATTGATCCTTATTACCATTCCACTTCATTCCTTTTTAATCTATAATTTTGATGCTTCTGTTCATAGTTGTGCGATAAACTGATTATTATTATTGTTCCCATGAGTTCCTAGTTGAACATAGGGCTTCAACTGCACGTCTCCACTTGCTTCTGTCTTCCTTCCGCTGTACTTTTCACCTGCATCCATGTTAGTCCATACACTTTCACTCAACTCCTCTTCACACGATCTCCTCCATTTCACCCTTGCACTGACGTCCCACTCGCTGGTTCTACTCGAGCAATGGCCTGACGCGCGCGATGTCACCCAGCGGCCTCCTCAGCGAGCGAGTGTCCAATCCATCTCCATCCACTTTCTCCTGCATATTAATTGGGAGATTGGTTTGACCTTGTTTTGTTTGTCTGTTCCCATAGTTTCTTGTTGGTGATTCTTTCCGGCCCGGCCATCTGATCTTCAGTATAGATCCGGCGAAGACAGTTGTTGGTTGATAAATGTCTGCAACAGGATGTTGGAAATATTCTTTGTGACACCCCCGCCAACTTTCTCATCCGTATAGAAGAACTGACTGACTTGACGTTGTTTGTATTGAAAATTCGACCGAATTTTGTTGTTGATGCTGGCTGAGTGACGAAGATTTCCAGATTGGTTTCATGTTGATCAATGTGTTTCTTGCCTTCCCGATTCTCGATTTGACATCCACGTTGGATAAACTCATAGTGCGTCATTCTACCTTGTGACTTGGTTTGAATGAATGAAACCCATTCTGATCTTGAACTACCTGTGGGAATTATTGGTGTATAACTGTTTGTGTAAATTATTTGATTTCACCCTAATATATGTGTTAAACTTGGGCACTGTGGTAGTAAGTAATTTCATATTAGCTCATTAGATCTACCAAACAGTGATCAAGTAAATAATATTGTTTCACTGTGTGATATCTCTATTAAACAAACTAATATGAAACGAAAGATCCGTTATCAATCTCTCCCTCCACCCAGCTACTATATTAGATTTAGGAATTGGGATCTCATCCCATCCTATTGTATGGTTGTGTGCCACTACATGTAGTACTATAGCTGAACTATTCTCTACATTTCTTACCTTATTCGGGTCAACCAATCTAGATTTCGCTAAGTTTTTATGTTCAGCTAGTCCGAATGCTCCTGTTCTACTAGTTTGACCTATGTATTTGACCTGACAATTCCCACAGGCAGGGTATTAGAAAAACTAAATTGTTTTGTTTTAAAGGCTCTACAGGATTGATCCTTTAACCGACAAAGCTTGTTTCTAATTGAGTTTGTGGGCAGTTTGAATACCAGCCACTTTTATTCCTGCTTGTATTGTTAAGAATTCTGCGTAAGGTGGTTTCCGAGGTTCCTTCCTTGTATGGAATTACTACTGATGATTTACATTCCTTATTGTTGGTGACAACAGTTGAATGAAAAGGTTAGGCTTTTTAACAAAACGCTCTGCAGAACGACTTGTTTAGAAGACTGAACGTCACAATAACCTCGAGAGAAGCTTCCAGGAGCTTGTCTGACCGTTGTGGCTGAACTATAAATTATGATGTCGTATGTGTTACCAGATTGAAGAAAAGTGTAAAACAGCGTCCAAATCTGGTCGGAAAAACATGACCCAGTGGTTTAATGGTCTACGAGCTCACCTTGTAACCAGAAGGTCCTGGGTTCAAACCCCGGTGGGCGCGTACTGCTGAAGAATCCGAAACCAGGACGAAACAGCTGTCTAGTACTCCCTGGTTTTCCAGTGGTTCTCTAACTGATGTCAGCTCATGGTGAAATCCTCCATACAATCAAACTTCAAAAAACTAAAGCACCCGCGAGTAGCGCAGAAGTTTGTCCAGTCATAGTTTAACTCATGCAGTTTTAGCCCTATTTTTATTCTGGTCCAATGAAAGATGCATCAAGACTGGCCTTTACTAGAAGGCAGATACTTTCTTCAGTTGCATCGTAGTTCACTGAAACAAAGTGGTTCCATGGAAGTTGGATGCAGAATATCTGACACGTATACACGCACATTCAAAGTGTTAAATTTCCACTCTAAGTGATAGCACTCATTGACTCACGTTCAATAATCGTAACCTCATATATTTCCAAAAACTTATTTATCATATTCGTTATAATTATCTAACTTCCATTGATGCACAACCCACAAACACACCATTTGGCGATACGCTGATTTGGTTGGATGATGTTTTTCTCATCAGATGTCGGATAAGTTCAAAATCCAATTCACAATTTTAGTATAAAACTTCCTGAGATACGAGTGAGAAATACACTGCTGAGAAACAAAACATAATCATGATCTCTTATTCTGCGTTGTTCTTAGTTGCATTACTGCTCAATAATGCGAGTCGGCGCACTCTCGCTATAGTTCCAATACCAACACTTTATACCATAGCTCCAACAGCCTGCAACCTGGTGCACACACTCACTTACGAACACAACTACCCAGCATGCATTATACTGACAGACTCACTGACAAGATTTCGACTACGTCTAGCATCACACCATCCGCCAATTCCTCAGAAAAGCAAAGATAAATGTAGCATAAACAAACTGAGAATTGAAATCATGGATGGATGTGATGAGAATTCAAATAAACTGTGGCCGAGTCACACAATGAACGAATCATGTGAGTTACAACACAAGAAGTATTTCATTCACCACTTTGCAGATAACGTGAATATTTCAGATACAGAAATCTCGATAAGTTCCAAAGAGGTCTGGGGTACACTACGTGCCCTCGAAACTGTACTTCAGATGGTATACAAAGATGAATTTGGAGGAGTGAGCTTTGTTCTTGTTGATAACTTGACTTCATCAATATATATTTCATCTAGAATATGATATTTAAAGGTTCTGTGGAAGATGCACCATTATTCTTACATCGTGGAATGCTCTTAGATACAGGAAGGAATTTCATGCCCGTTGAAACCCTACAGAAGATGATAGTAGGAGATGTGATATTCAGCATAGTATTTTCTGTTTTCAGGATATCATGGCTATGGTTAAAATGAATGTCTTTCATTGGCATATCACAGATGACGAATCATTTCCCTTTGTCTCAACCACCTATCCAGAACTGTCAGACAAAGTAAGTTAAGTCAATGTTCAGTCGTTTATTAATTCCGATTCTCGTCTTAATCTGTACAGGGTGCATATCATCCACAAAAGTATACATATGATGAAGAAGAAGTATCTGATTTATTGGAATACGCTCGTCTCCGTGGAGTTCGGATCATTCCAGAGTTTGATACTCCAGGTATATAAGTTTGAAAACATTTGGTATGATGTAATTATCCATCAGCTTTGCCCACATGAAATAATATTGTACAAATATTTGAGTCAGTGTAATAGCGTTCTCGGAGTAATGCCGCAAATTCAACATAGGACCATGAATTCGACAGAGGCATTGGGTTTGAAACTGTAATGTGGATTGTTCATGATCTTATATTTTCAGGTATATTAACTCAGTGAGGTGACGAAGCACATTAGCGCTGAGTTTCCCGACAGTTTCATATTTGAAGAAAGCATTTATCGTTTCTCTGTGGAGAAAAGATCACAGTTTTATTCAAATCATTGTGGATTTATGGTTCCATTTGTAATTTTTCAATCGCTTTGAATACACTAGAAAACTTGATGAAGAATTCAAAAGGCGAATAGCTTGAATATCATTAGTTGAAATGTCAGTTGAACTGTCAAGTGTTTGACCACTGCATTTTAATTCGTACAGATTATCCTTGAATTAGGAAATGCAGATCATGTGTAATCACAGGAAACGAAATAACAATCGATTTCAAATGGTGAGTGGTATGGGATGTAGACTGTTGAATAGCCATGTCATTTTTTATTTAACTAATATTGTCCCTCTAAAAGTTTCAAAAATAATGGTTACTGAACAAAGAGTGCTCTTTTCGATAACACCATCATCAGGCTCTACAGTTATGGATACATAATAGTAATGAATGAATTGGTGTTTTGAACAACATTAATGTTTAAATAACCGCGAATCAATAGTATCAACAGATTACAGTTCAACAGCATTAACATAACAATAAACTGAATGTCAGAAAAATCAGGAAAGATAATATTACAAATTTATGAATTTCTAGTCTCTACTGAAGGCTGGCCAGGGCAGTGATAGTGGCTAGCTGGACTTGCTTCTTCTCTCCACAAAGCACTGGTTGCTTCACGTCAATCGCAATAGCCTCTGTTGTTTGAAGCATGCAATACTTCGATGTTTTTGGCAATTTATTTAGCACGCGGTAGATGATGATAGTGAGAAGGATTCTTTATTGTTGGTTGGCTTTGTGGCCAGTTTGGACTGGATGGTCTAATATCGAACTGTTGATGATGGTTTTTACTACACCTTTACTCAGCCACACTGGGAGATGTTCTCGAGCACGAAAAAAATCAAGTTCCTAGAGCAACGGCCGGTTCGAGGTTATTTAAACATTATTGTTGTTCATAGCACCAATAAATTCACTACTATTATGTATCCATAACTGTAGAGCCTGATGATGAGGTTATCGAAAAGAGTATTCTTCGTTGAGTAACTATTCTTTTGAAAATGTAAATGGGCACTTCTAAAAGTTGTCAAAGTGATCTTCAATGTTTGTCACAATACTTTTTTGTAGCGCATACATTGTCATGGGGAAAAGCATATCCAGACTTACTAACAAAATGTTATGAAGACGCTAAACCAACTGGACTATTGGGTTCATTGAATCCAGCCAATGATTCTACATTTAAGTTTTTGAAGAATCTGTTTACAGAAGCCACCAGCCGATTTCATGATAAATATATTCATCTTGGAGGCAATCAGATAAATTTTGCCTGTTGGTGAGTTAACTCATATTTTATGTCACATTTCATAGAGGAGACACATTAAGATATCGCGAAATTCTCAGACTATTCTGACAGAAAACGTTTTCTTGCCTCAGATGACAACAGGTTGAATTCGTCTCATTTAGTACATTTTGATAGCTGCTTAAGCGTTATATTTGTTTGAATTGAATGATTCTCATGTTTCGTTCGTCGAACACTTCCAAACCTCTTAAGGAAAATAGTTGAAATTAAAATAATAAAGGTATATATAAAACTTACAGTTTGTATATACAACTCTTGTCCAGTCATCTCTGAGTCGTGATTAGTCATCAAAAACAATACCGTATGCATAGAGAATGGCACCGGACAGAATAGTTTTCAAGAATTAATATCCCCATTTAACATCTCCTGGTCTACTTAAAAAAAGACTTTGTCACACTATGAAGGGCACCAAATGTTGTCAGTAGGGCAAGTTGACTGCCACTAAATCACCTTGTTAGTGCAGTTGTAGAACGACACATAGACTCATACAAGGAATTAGCAAATATTATCTTGTTGGACTCTTCGCGTCCTCTCTATCGACAACTCTGCCCTTGCGTTTATCAGATACAACCGGAAGCAACTATAGAAGAATTTATACTCGGACGACTAAGTATCAAAACTCCACAATACCTTATTCTACACACGCATTTAATAAAATGAGAAAATTGAAATGTATAGTACTACTAGTTTACTGAGAAACACTAAGTAAATGGCACTTCTAATCCTTTCAATCATTAATATATTGTTCCTAAAGTTTCTAATTCAATCTACATTTCATGTTCCATAGTCTTTCGAACAATATTGCAAATATGAATACCCTGTTCAGTTGTTTCTACTTGCACTGTGTAGATGGAAAATTAGACGCAATACATGCTGTACTCCATGCCGGAAATTTCACACTGTATCAGAATAGCTGTTTGGAATTATTATTTATTATTATTTTTCCCTTGTGTTCCTAGTGCAACATAGGGATTCAAATCCACGTCTCCACTTGCTTCTGTCTTCCTTCTGCTGCACTTTTTACCTGCATCCACCAATGTTAGACCATACTGTTTCAACTCCTATTCACACGATCTCCTCCATGTCACCCACCTTTGCACTGACGTCCCAATCGCCACTTCTTTTTCGTGTTCCACTCCAGCAATGGTCTGACGCACACATGGTGTCACCCATCGGCCTCCTCAGCCAGTGTCCAATCCATCCATCTTCACTTTCTCATGCATATTTGTTGGGCGATTGGTTGGTCCTTGTTTTGTTTGTCTGTTCCCATAGTTTCTTGTTGGTGATTCTTTCCGGCCCGGCCATCTGATCTTCAGTATAGATCCAGTGAAGACAGTTGCTTGTTGATAAAGGTCTGGTCTGCAACAGGCTATTGGAAATATTCTTTGTGACCCGCCCTCCAAGTTTCTGATCCGTAGAGAAGAAGTGAATGACTTGACGCCGTTTGTATTGAAAATCCGACCGAATTTTGTTGTTGATGCTGGCTGTGTGACGAAGATTTCCAGATTGGTTTCAGGTTGATGATGAATGTGCTTCTCGCTCGCCTTCCCGATTTTCGATTCTCTCGACATCCTCGTCCGTTCCTCCTGTAGTTGAGACAATGCTCCCTAGATAATGAAGTGAATGAAGTAACATCTTTTAAATCCCTCCCATTGATGGTGATTTGCGCTGGATGTTGCTGTTGTTATTGTTGGCTGGTTATTTTCACAACCTCTATCTTGTCTATGTTCAGCTGGAGTCCTGTCTTCTCTGGCTGCTTCTTTGACAAGTTTGTCGGTTTTCTCTTGTAAATCTGTTTGGAATAAAGCCGTTATTACTTTTATTGTTATCATAAACTATAGTTGATAACTTTCCATAATACAGGATTATTTATTCTGCTTACTGTCAACACTTTCACTAAACACTGGATATTTTTGTACTTTGCTTTAAATGACTGAAACGAAGAATCCTCAACTATAGTTTTTGTATAATTCGCGTTTCACTCATACGATCACAAAAATGAAGTGAAGAAATGATATATGTGTAGGCGGTTCTATTGAATCTATAGTGTCCCTACAAAAAAGTGTGCTATGTCCACTCAGAGGTGGTTCACGGTTGAGGAGATTGAGAGAATGAGACAGTTAACCGGGTAGGAACGACGTCTTCTTTATGATTTTTAAGACGTTCTTTATCTACCGGATGATGAATGCCCTTCAGTGTATCTGACTAAGCTTCTCCGCTTCGCTTGCCCACTGCCGTTTTTTTTGAAAATAAACGTTAGAAACGTGAATTCGTCTCCTGCAATAACGGAAGCTGTCAGTCAGTGATTTGGATAACTATTTTGATGGAAAAGTGGGTTTCTAAAAATCTTTGACGAAGAACGTGGCAAGGTTAAACTCATTTTGTTTGTCCATAATAGATAAGCTTTTATTGTGATAAATCACACATTACTATTATTAAATCCTTTAATTCCTACAGGAAAATAGGGCTTCTGCTGCTTGTCTCCATTGCCTCCTGTTTTCTGCCAACTTTTTCACCTAACTCCAACTCTACCCACATGCTTTCATCTTCCCCTCACATCACTTCCTCCAAGTCACCCCACCATCGCACTGACAACCAACTCGCCACTTCCCTTTCGGGTTACACTCGAGCGATGGCTTGTCTAGTGATGTCACTCACTTGTTGGTTTCCTCAGAGTATGGCCAATCCATCTCCATTTCTTCCTGCCTATTTGTTTAACAATCGTTTCCTGCTGGGTTGGTTCGCTCACTGCCAGAGATCGCTGTTGCTGACCTATTTTGGCTGGCCATCTGATCTTGAGTAGAACTGAGCGAAGACAACTGTTAATGAAGGTCTGAAGTTTGTTTGAAATGCTCTTCATGTCTCGCTGACCAAGTTTCTGATCCATCCGTATAGTAGCACTGACTTTACATTGGAGTTGAAGATCCGTATCTTATTTTTGATGCTGAGTGCTGTTGACCTCCACACAGACTTAAGAGTAATGAAAGCTTGGCTTGCTTTTCCGATTCTAGCTTTGTCATCCTCGTCAGTTCCGTCTGCCTGTAGTTGAAACGATGCTTCCCAGGTAGGTAGGTAAAGGAGGTTGCTTTTTCCGAAGTTCCCCCATTTATGCTGATTGTTGTCTGTTGTTGTCGCTGTGGCTGTTGGTGTTGGCCAGGAATCTTCATCACCACATCTGTTTTCTCTATGTTCACCTGAAGTGAGGTCCTATTTTTGATGCTTCTTCTATCACCAACGTGTTGCTTTTCACTTGCATATCTTCCAGTTTGTGGGAAATTAGACACATATAAGTCATCGGCGAAGTCCAGATCCTCCAAGTCTCTTTTTGTGTGAGTCCATTTTATGCCAGTTTCCTCATTTCCCGTTGTCTCTCTGTCGCATTATCCAATCTACTGCAATCAGGAAGATCATTGACGATAGTAGACAGCCTTGCCTCACTCCCACATTGCTATACAGTAATATTAACTGATGATGTTTCGAGCACAAACTATTGTTCATAATCATATCAAGTCACTCAAGCACACAACTTTGTGTTCTTTTCTTTAGGGCTCGGAATCCAGAAGTAGTTGAATTGATGAAAAAAATGAAATTTCCTGGCCATTATACCCAAATAGGGAACTATTACGCATCGAAAGTTGTCGAAACTGTCAAAAGTATTGCTGACTCCAAAGTCGCCATTACACCTATTTTATATCACGAGGTTTTAGATTATGGATTTCAGGTAAGTGTTGGGAGATGTGTTTAGTAGTAATTGTTTTATCTACACGCACAACACTATCAGATATGCTTACTTCACTAGGTGGATTGTGTTTCAGTAAACGCCTATTGTTCATAAACACTTTAAAGTATTAGCATAACTTCATAGCCTTGTTTGTTCACGGTGACTCTTTCTCATATCATGATCCCAACGGTGGGGATATATCTCGTATTCCTGTTATTGGTGTTGGATTATATCTATTGGACTTATCCGGTGTCGGTTAGTTCATGAAAAGCGATTAGATGATCAACTGTGAATGGTTAACTGGATTCCTGGCTTATCAGCAACTCCTTAAACTTTAAAAAGACAAAAGTTGATTGTTGGGCTGAAAACTCCACTCTTTAAATAACCAACTCATTGCTACGATAACATTGATGTACAAAAAAATATGAAAAATAAACCCATTCCCTGCTGGAATTTAGAAGAAGATTTCTAGGATGAACTGCGTCTGTGGGTGGAAGCCTTCACTAGGCAACTCAACCGAAGTGTCACCTTTCGAGCATAGGCATGAGAATACGAAGTGTTCTCATCCTGTTTGAGGCTACTCAGAACACAGATTGAACCAAGTCTGTTATGACATTGTTAGGAATCTGTGAATGCAGGCAAAACGAAACTAAAATCTCCAAAATCACAACTGTAGAGTTAATATTCTAGTCAAATCACTCAGATAATGACAACATGTTGGCTGAGAGTGTTAATCACATTATTACCGAAAACATAGAAAGCCCCCATCAGCTGAACACAGATCTCCTGAAAGAATGTGACTGCAAGATTTCAATCAAAAAGAAGAGAAATTGCAGTTGTACAGTATTCTGTACCTATAAACAACACACAAGGAGGACGTCTACAGCAACGTGCAGACAGTAACGGACAAGAACCCATCCAGAATTCCAACTGGTAGCACAAATCTCACACTGTGTACAGACAGAGCTAGCAGAAAGCTCATCACGAGTATGGCGTCACTTTGTGTTGCTGAAACTCCTTGTTCTGTGTGAGACTATGGTGATTAACAATACAATAATGATAATTCGATAATTAATGTAGACCATTCGCCTTATTTGATGTCCATGTGTCAATGTGTGTATAACTGTATACTAGTGTTTTCTCGAGAAAGCTATACAATATGGTTAAGTATGATAAATCAGGCTGAATTCTCATGTTCTGCAAACTCGGCTTACCCAACCAAACGAAATACATCCACCTTTGTGCTTGACCTTGGAATCTTTGCATTACACTCGCTGAGTTGAGTTATTTGGTCCCAATGCGGAAAATAAATTAGTGAGCCACCAAGGATAGTTTCATCTATTGAACAATTGTGTATTTCCTACATAGTGAACCACTTCATTTGGATATTTATTTCATATCTGCCAGTGTGCGTCGGGGGCAAGCCACTGGGGTGCTCGCCAACCGGGCACATGGTCCGGAGTCAGAATAACTGTCAAAGTTTGCTAATTTCCCGAAGATGTTAGTGTCAAGAATGGCAAGTGTTCTTCCTCATTTTATTCTTATATCAAAGATAGCCAAGTTCTTATTGCTCATTTTATAAGTCTTCATCTACCTTGGCGATCACACTTCAATCCTGATTATTCAAAATCAGTCAGTACCAACTCCAAGAACCGACAAACTGTTCGAAGAAGCAGCCAGAGAAGACAGGAATCCAGGTGAACATAGACAAGACGGAGGTTATGAAAATAACGAGCCAACAACAACAACTGCGACATCCACCGCAAATCGCCATCAATGGGAAGGATTTGAAAGATGGTACTTCATTCACTTCATTATCTAGGGAGCATTGTCTCAACTACAGGAGGAACGGACGAGGATGTCGAGAGAATCGAAAATCGGGAAGGCGAGCGAGAAGCACATTCATCATCAACCTGAAACCAATCTGGAAATCTTCGTCACACAGCCAGCATCAACAACAAAATTCGGTCGGATTTTCAATACAAACGGCGTCAAGTCATTCACTTCTTCTCTACGGATCAGAAACTTGGCGGGCGGGTCACGAAGAATATTTCCAACAACCTGTTGCAGACCAGACCTTTATCAACCAGCAACTGTCTTCACTGGATCTATACTGAAGATCAGATAGCCGGGCCGGAAAGAATCACCAACAAGAAACTATGAGAACAGACAAACAAAACAAGAGCAAACAAATCGCCAACCAACAAATATGCGTGAGAAAGTGGAGATGGATGGATTGGACACTCGCTCGCTGAGGAGGCCGCTGTGTGACATCGCGCGCGCGTCAGGCCATCGCTCGAGTTGAACCAGGACGAAAGTGAAGTGGCGAGTGGGACGTCAGTGCGAGGGTGACATGGAGGAGATCATGTGAAGAAGAGTTGAAACAGTATGGACTAACATGGATGGATTCAGGTGAAAACTGCAGCAGAAGGAAGACAGAAGTGGCAAGTGGAGACGTGGATTTGAAGCCCTATGTTCCACTAGGAACCCAAGGGAACAATAATAACTAACTCCAAATATTAGACGTAAGACATTGGTTGCTCTGGTGTGACGCATTCAGCAATGACATACTTTTCCAAGAAATCCTAAGCCTTTAGATTTGAAAATAGAGCAGTAGTGAGTTGAATGCATATTTCAGTTTTCGAAAAGAGAGTTAACTCCGTATTTTTCCCAATAAAATAGACAAATGCCTAACTCCTCTTCAAAGTTAGGCTTTAGAAATCTCAGACAGCTAATAAATCGCTCTTTATAATGACCGTTTAATCGAAATCTCCCATCCATAGAATAATATGTTTCTCACTTTCGAGATTACCATCTGATCGTAAAATTCTCTCATTATAAAAGACAATTTTATTCGGTCGACAAACAACCAGTAATTGTATTAAATGTTTGGTTCCATATTATAGGGTGACGGAAACACAGTTATTCATGTTTGGGAAGGCTTATACTGGGAAGAATATACCAAAACTGCTACTGGAAAAAAATTCAACGTTATAGTTTCTGGTGACTGGGATTTAAGTGATTTTGATAACGGTTATGATTGGACAGAATACTACGAACAAGATATCAGAGAATTTGGAGGTTAGTTGATTTACCGTATATTTTGACAGGAATCGTGCTATTAACCAAACTGATGTGTTGATATTATCTATTGGATATTGAATAATTTCGGGGTTATTTGTCATTTACCAGTTTGAATGTGTCGGTAATTTCAAATGGTACAGTATGAGATAATATAAATAACAACTAAAGAATCTTACGTTTAGAAACTAAAAAAATAATGAAAAGAATATGTAGGCAGCTCACGACTAGGCAGTTTAGCTCGCGTAATTTCAACCGAAACTTGATGAGAAAGAACAGCGATTGATGCGTTATTTTATGTTGATGTCAGCAGTAGGACTGGTGATTAGTGACGTCGACAAGAGTATTTGTTTGTCAATTACTTCTGATTGTCAGAACCCACGTAAATGAAGACGGAAGGATGAGACACACTGCCTTAACAATTCCCCTGCATTATTCATTGGTACATCATTTATAAATACCATCTACCTCGGAGGGCTAGGTTAACAAATAAGCAAATATATCGGTTACATGAGGTAGGTATTCGAGATAGTCTGATTGAAGTATCATCAATATCCTGAACAGGACCGTATGGTTTGATTTGTCCAATCTGGTTTAATCCTGACTCAGCTTGGTTTTGCTGCTGTGTGTCTATTTGAGATCGATTTAGGTTTTACATACAAATTAGGCAAATAATGTACTTTGAAGGTGACGTTTCTTTTATTCTTGTGAATCCAATCCAACGTTTTCATGACAGTTTCATATAGTTTTAGTTTCTTCCCACCTTCGACACAAATGTCATTCAAGCTGACACAGTCTGATCACATCTACTAATGGGACATTTCATGAAGTAGAAGAATTTACCAGTCACTCAGCTAGACTAATACTGTGAAAATTTGAAACCATAACAGTTTTAACCTTGTGATCTGCTGCTTATGCCACAGTGTCTATCTGATTTTGAAAGTGACAACTAACAGCAGCGATGAAAACAGGGCCGACATTATGAAGTGAGTTCGTATCAATCGTCTTGAACGCAAACTACAAAACCTGTAGTTACTGCAGCTCCAGCATGAATTTTGTGCATGAATGTGGGTGCAAATTTTATCCTGATTTCGTTTCCAAATACTGTTTGGACGATGGGTTGATAGAACGTTATGTTTAGAATTTAGATAAAGTCGTGAGTATTGTTGTTAGTATTTTCTTTGCAAATGGATACTTATGGGAGGAGAGTATTTCCTTGTTCATACAGATGAAACCGCGATGGCCAAGTATAAAATTTCACCCGATGATCTCCTCAGCGTGTGCCGTATACATGTCCATTTTCTCCTAAATGTTTGTTGTGCGATAGATTCTTGACCGGTTCGTCCCCAGAGATTCTTGTTAATTTAATTTTTTGGTAACAGCTTGATTCCACACTGTATTTTTGGTACAAGTATGGAATTTTCAGCGTGGATATCGGTAGCCCAAATTTTGCAGGCCGACCATAGATATCTGGTGTGCGCCGGTGTTGGCTCGAACACTGGACCATGTGCATGGTCGTCGAGAGTCCTAACCACTGTGCCACAGACGTTGCTAATTCTTTCTTGCCAGCCGGCCTCTTGAACTTCAATATCGAGCTAGAGAGTACAGCTGTTGTCAAAAGTCTGCAGTCTGCTGGAAATGCTTCTCGTGACACCATTTCTAAATCAAAACCATCCGAATTGTTAAAGTTTCGTTCACCAGTAAACTCGGGATGTCTAAATTTGAAAATTACACTAATTGCCTTTCAGTCTCTTAACTTCCTGCGACGATAATAATAATTATTATGTCTTTTACAGGCTCAGACGAGCAGGCATCATTAGTCATTGGTGGTGAAGCTATACTGTGGGGCACAAGTGTGGATGAGACCAATGTGATCACTCTAGCATGGTAAGTACCGTTTGTAAATCACATATTGCACTTCTGGTGTCATCAGCTTTCGACCACTTAATAAAATTGTTTGAGTTGGATTAGGTGGAAATGAACCAAGTGTATATAGGGATTTTTAAGTTGACAAGACAACTGAGTGAAAATGTCTCAGTGCTGAGTCTCTGCTAGAATCTGAGCATTCAATAACATCCCTTCAGGTTCAGATGAAACAGGATGGACAGATCGATGAGACTCCATTGGTAGCCAATAAACAAACAAACAAATACCATAAAGATGAATTGTAATTTTCAGTACCCGTATGACTGCTTTCAACCTATCGCATTTTTTAACAGTCACTATTTTTGAATGTTAACTGCTAAGGATGGAGTTGATGGTCCTACTGATTTCGATATCGAATCATCATTACTGAATTTTCAGGCTAGATTGACGCTGGCCTCTCTCAGCCTTATATCTTTCATCAGCGAATGGCACAGCTGGTAAGATACTGAGTGATACACCTTCGTATATGCCACGTAGGCGAGACTCATATAAGAAATGATGCACGGAGACATCTAGTTTATGACAGACCAATTTTTGAAGAGCCTGACAAAAAGGCTGAGTGTGACTTTATTTTTCTTGCTTTATTTACTACAATGAAGTACCTTCTTTCATCTCTGTGACATACATGTGCAGGCCCAGAGGAGCTGCTGTAGCTGAAAGATTATGGTCTCAAGACCCTGATACGAATGAAGAATTCTCACAACGAATCGGTGAACTTCGATGCAGAATGCTCTAGTGAGTCCTTGTATTCTTATATTCATGCGTATTCATGTATATTCTGAAGTTAGACTGCAACATGTTTGTGCCATGGCCTTTATTCAGAAATAATCACTGTTAGATATATTCACTCCTTTCACTACAGAATCACAGTTTTCGTCGTATTTTGATTCCGCGGCAAAGTATGTGACGTCCAGTTTGTTTCCAATGAAGAATCTGATCTTACTTAATTTTTGTTGCATGTAATAGTAGCACAAGCATGAAATTAGACAATGTATCCAGCCGCGTTTATTTGAATGTTGCATGGTTACATCGAGTGCGAAATTCAAAGATTTGTTAGATTGGTTCATATTATTATTCTTATTATATCCTTTAATTCCTAGAGGAACATAAGGCTTCAGCTCCGCATCTCCATTGCCATCTGTTTTCTGACAACTTATTCACCCCGCTCCAAGTCTGCCCACATGCTCGCATCTCCTCTTCACATGACCTCCTCCAAGTCACCCTTGCACTGACGACCAACTCACCGCTTCCCTTTCGGCCTTGTTCCGCTCGAGCGATGGCTTCGCGTGTGATGTCACTCACTTGATGGTTTCCTCAGCGTATGGCCAATCCATCTCCATTTCTTCCTGCCTATTTCCTTCACAATCGGTTCCTGCTGGGTTGATTCGCTCATTCCCAGAGATCCCTGTTGATGATCTTTTCTGGCCGGCCATCTGATCTTGAGTAGTATTGAGCGAAGACAACTGTTGGTGAAGGTCTGAAGTTTGTTTGAGATGCTGTTTATGACGCGCCAAGCCTCTGATCCGTATTGTGAGTAGCACTGACTTCACATTGGAGTTGAAAATCCGGATCTTATTTTTGATGCTGAGTGCTGTTGACCTCCACACAGACTTGAGAGTAGTGAAAGCTTGTCTTGCTTTCCCGATGCTCACTTTGGTATCCTCTCCAGTCCCGTCTGCCTGTAGTTGAAACGATGCTTCCTAGGTGGGTACGTAGGTAAATGAGGTTGTTTCTTTCAGATTCCTCCCATTTATGCTAGCTAATTGTTGTCTGTTGTTGCAGTGGCTGTTGGTGTTGGCCAGGAATCTTCATCACTTCTGTTTTCTCTGTGTTCACCTGAAGTCCTATCTTCACTGGATGCTTCTTCTACCAGCTTGTTGCTTTCCACTCGCATATTTTCTAATTTGTGGAAAATCAGACATATATCATCGGCGAAGTCCAGATCCTTCAAGTTCTTGTTTTGTGTGAGTCCATTTTATGCCAGTTTCCTCACTGCCCGTTTCCTGTCGCATTATCCAATCTACTGCAATCAGGAAGATCATTGGCGATAGTAGACAGCCTTGCTTCACTCCCGTCCTCCTTGCGAAAGCTTCCGTAAGTTTCCTGTTGTGGATTACTTGGTATCAGCATTGTCGTATAACTGTTGGATGATATGTATAATTGTCGATGTCATCCCGTAGTAGCGAAGTAGGAAAGTGAAATCCACCAAACGATTCTACCTCCTAGGATGTATTAAACATCTTAGAGCTATTCACTGCACATGATGAATATTTTTAAGGTGCTAGTGAAGGCTTTCATTTAACTCATGATGATCAATTTGATGGTTTAATGTCTTAAACTGTGTGCATATCACCTCACTGGATAAATAACAATTTGAAGACAAAACATGTAGTTCAGTAAAGAGGTTGTTTTCGATGAGTGCGTTCTCCCGGTTAGCTGTGCAATCGAACTTATTCACATTTTTTTCCCATTAGATGGTTATTAGCAAGACAGATAAGTTGTCACAAAAATAATTGCATGGAAGATTTAATCATGAGCTGACATCAGTTAGAGACCAATGGAAAACCTGGGAGTACTGGACAGCTGTTTCGTCCTAGTTTGGGACTCTTCAGCAGTACGCACCCGCCGGGATTCGAACCCAGGACCTTCTGGTTACAAGGCCAGCGAGCTTGTAGACCATTGAGCCACTGGGACCCGATCCAATGGTCCTTGAATTCTAACTTTGGATCGGGTCCCAGTGGCTCAATGGTCTACAAGCTCGCTGGCCTTGTAACCAGAAGGTCCTGAGTTCGAATCCCGGCGGGTGCGTACTGATGAAGAGTCCCAAACTAGGACGAAACAGCTGTCCAGTACTCCCAGGTTTTCCATCGGTCTCTAACTGATGTCAGCTCATGATTAAATACTCCATGTAATCAAACAAAATCCCTACAAAACCAATACTACAAAAATTGTCGATATTTTGTCAATGCCTATGATCAGTTGAATAAGTGGATCAGAGTTACGTAATAAGATACACAACCTAGTTCAGGATGCACAAAGACAGGAAGGCAAATAGCGGGCATACGAGAGTAATACAGTGGTTAGAAAAACAAACTAACTAAAATCAAATGACGGAATATACACATTGGGTTATAGGAGTTATTAAGAAGACAGTTGCAGTGAAGAAAATTTTCTTTTCGACGAAATCATCATCTAGGCTGTAAATTCGTGTACTTTTATCAAATGGATTGAAAAATTCCAGAATAATTTCCGGTTAAGGGTCAAATTAATAAAAATTACAATTAGGAATTAAAATGTCATAATAAACAGGGGGACAGAAAAAATACTCAAACAAAGTAGCATCATAATTATTAAGAAGACTGACATTGTGCAGTTGGGGGTTAGAAATGTAGAAATAACAAAAATAGGCAGGATGTTTAGATGGAAAAACTAATATGATGAATAATTGTTTAAGCAATCAGGGGAGTTCGGATATGGAAATATGGTAGTATAAAAAGGGATTAAGAAAACTTAAAAATAACATGAATAAAAAAGAAGTTTAGATAAGAAAGGTAATAGAATGGTCATTACTAAAAAAAAATACCCGTTTATGATGGCGCTGGGTGGGACAGGGGTTGGACGTATTTCTTTTGGATACAAAGCATGGGTTTGAGCTTTTGGGTAGCTAGCGCCTCGGCTCTGCCAAGATGTCTTAATTCCACCCACTTTGATAGGTTTGATTGAATCTTGTATATTACTTTGAAGGATTTTCCGGAAGGTGCTGAATGTCCTGAATTGATTAGATGTTCTGTCACTGAACTGTATACACGCTCTCGATCTGCTTTTACTAGTCAGGCTGGGTAGTGTTTACGAGTGAGTTTTTCAAGTCGGCGCATGGTACGGCCAACGTACTCAGCCTCACAAGAGCAAGTAAACTGGTGCATGCACCCTGAGTTGGCACAATACGACAGCTTGTCCTTCGCGTTCTGAATGAATAGTTTCTTGCAGAAAAATTTCAGTCGTAGGGTCGCGGCGAAGTATGTTTTCTTCAGCGATTTGAATAGGCGTTTACGAAAGATTTCTGTTTTAATATCACCTTTGAAGTCTAGATTAAGCAGAAGTATTTTGTTCGGAACGGATTGGATTTGTTCGGAAGTCTTCTTAGATTTGAGATTTTTGTCTATGTACCTGGGCAGGAAACCGTTTTCCATCAGGGTTTTTCGGAGATTACGCAGTTCTTCTTCAACCACTTCCTCGCTGCATATCTTCCGAATCCTCGAGGAAAGAGTGTATATCAGGTTCCTCTTTCTGCTTAGGGACATGAAGCTTTGAAAGTTGATGAATTGTCCATTCCATATAGGCTTTTTGTATATGGAACTTTTCAGAGAGTTGTAGACGTTTCTTGTCAGATGGACGTCAAGGAAGTGGAACATTCCGTCGGATTTAGTCTCAAGTGTAAAGTCGATGTTTTGGTGGGCGTTTGTTGATACGAAATGGTCGGTGCTTGCTAGATGTTCGATTATCGTACTCCTCAAGAGAGAACTACTATATTTCTGCAACCATGAGCGGGATGCTGTTCTTGAACCTTTTCAGGCAGGATATGCGTCAAACAAATAATGTATCTGGCTCCAAAGGAATAGGTGAACTGATATATGCACACAGAACAATAGTAATTTAATGAGAAGCATTGAAATTTCTATACGCATTATTGCTGTCTACCAATACTAGTTATTCGATGTGTGAAACAACAAAACTGATTGTAAATTTCGATATATTTATTTGACGATTTATTTCAGTAACAACATAGAAGCTCATCCAGTCAATGGACCAGGTTTCTGTCCAACTAAAATTTTGAGAACATGAACAAATTCGAGAAAGTAAATGAAGATCGTTCCTTACATTTTTTTTGTGCCTCAGAGTTCAATTGACTTCTATTGTATTAAAATGAAATTTCTAAGTATTTTTAAATACACTCTTATGAACGAAGTAACTTTTGACTGTCCGAGTGAGTACAGGCTTTGTGAGTTTGCTTTTTACATTAAGATGAACCTTAGCTCAGCACACTATTTGTTAGTCGGCGTTGAATGAACGCCTCTCAGTGGTCAATGTAGTCCATGTCTAACTCACAGCTTCACTGTCACATCTTCATTCGGTTGCCTGTCATCAGTTCTAGTTAGTTCAACTACTAACAAACAGATTTTAATTTCCCCGCCCAAGTGATCACATATCGTCTAACTACTATTTGTGGAAATGGTGTTGGATGCTAGTTCAAGCCATCTTCAAAGCATATTTAAGCCACATACATTTCTTTCTAAATTTTTGTCGTGCGGCATGCTGTTGGCTGGTTTGCTGTAACAGTTACGTCATGCATTTTTCTTCCGACTGGTCATCTGATCTTAGGTGTAGAACGGAGATAGTTGTTGATGAAAATTTGCATGTTGCCTGAAATGCTTTCTGTGAAACATGCTTCAATTCCCTGAACCATATATCAGAATTACCTTAAGGTTTGTGTTAGGAATTCGAATCTTGTTCTAATCCTGAGCAGCACAGATAGTTACGCCAATTTCAGAGTATTATTATTATTTCCTTTAATTCCTAGAGGAGCATAGGGCTTCAGCTGCGCATCTCCATTGCCTTCGGTTTTCTGCCAACGTTTTCACCCCGCTCCAAATCTGCCCACATGCTTTCATCCCCCCCTTCACATCACCTCCTTCAAGTCACCCCCGCATTGACGACCAACTCACCGCTTCCCTTTCGGCCTTGTTCCACTTGAGCGATGGCTTGTCTAGTGGTGTCACTCACTTGATGGTTTCTTTTCTCAGAATATGGCCAATCCATCTCCATTTCTTCCTGCCTATTTGTTGCACAGTCGGTTCCTGTTGGGTTGGTTCGCTCTTTGCCAGAGATCCCTGTTGTTGATTTTTTCTGGTCATCTTATCTTGCGTAGAATTGAGCGAAGTCAACTTTTAATGAAGGTTTGAAGTCTGTTTGAGATGCTCTTCCGGCCACATGTAGTTGAAACGATGCTTCACGGGTAGGTAAAGGAGGTTGTTTCTTTCAGGTTCCTCCCATCAATGCCGACTGATTGTTGTCTGTTGTTGTTGCTGTTGATGTTGGCCAGGAATATTTATCGTCATCTCTGTTTTCTCTTTGATGCTTCTTCCGACAACTTGTTGCTTTCCACTTGCATACCTTCTACTTTGTGGGAAATCAGACATATATCATCGGCGAAGTCCAGATCCTTGAAGTTTTTCGTTAGGCTCCATTTTATGGCTGTTTCCTTATTCCCCACTGTTTGTCCCATTATCCAATCCACTGCAATCAGGAAAATCATTGGCGATAGTAGACAGTCTAGCCTCACCCCCATCCTCACTTAGAAGTCTTCCGTAAGTTTCCCGCTGTGGATTACTTGGCACCCATAGACGAAGTGATAATGCTTGGATGAATTGAAAGAGGAATGCATCTTGAGATTGCTGTAGCTGATGCTGATTAGTGCTTTCGCCAGGTGTCTTCACCAGCACCACCTCATTTTCAAAGCTTGCTTCAATTCCTGTTTTTACTGCTATCTCTGTCAACTTCTCGGTCATGCTAGAATTCAGTTACTGAGATGGTATATAATTCCACCACGATATAATGTCATTTGATAAAAGAAACACACAATGATGGCTTTTTATTTACAAACGGTGTATAGAGCACACCATTCTGCTCATGATGTCATCGACTCAACTAAACAACTTTTTTCGACTCAATTTTACAATTCCATTACTTGTTATTCTTTGCTTTTACTGGTACTAGGGGTTTAATGTAGACTCCGTGGACAAATATTCAGTGATCAGCCCACCCTTAAGCTTAATTTTACTGATTTCAGCACTGTGGTTGTGTGTCAACCTGTTCTGGGATTGCATGTTGGTGCATGCACTACGACTCCTAAATTTCTTCCAATCTATTCATTTTCCTAAAGTCAGTCATTCTACGCTTAGCTGAATTTCCAAGTCCTGATTACCTGATTTACACCGCTCTAATCGACTGGCTTGTGTGATTGAGCTGTCAGTTGTTGCAAAGCACTGATATGCTTAAATTACTTTCTCGAATTCTGAACTACATATAGAATCCTTTAAATTTTTTATTGAATTTCATGATATGGTCTAGTTTGTGCATATTGCCTAGTGAGTTGCTTTTCCGATAACTACGTTCTCATCATTTCTGAGATCCATTAAATCCGACTCTTCTGGTTCCCTTGAATCTGAATTCCGCTTTCATTGTGGAGTATAATTCCATTGTATCCACCTCAGAAATCCGATGGCTGAAACACATTTTGAATAAACTCCACGTAAACAATTGAGAGAGGCTACTTAATTCACTCACTTATCTAGCATTGAGCATTGTCTCAACTACAGCCAATCGGAACGGACGAGGATGTCGAGAGGATCGAAAATCGGGAAGGCGAGCGAGAAACACATTCATCATCAACCTGAAACCAATCTGGAAATCTTCCTCACACAGCCAGGATCAACAACAAAATTCGGTCGGATTTTCAATACAAACAACGTCAAGTCAGTCAGTTCTTCTATACGGATGAGAAAGTTGGCGGGGGAGGTCAAAAAGAATATTTCCAACAGCCTGTTGCAGACATTTATCAACCAACAACTGTCTTCGCCGGATCTATACTGAAGATCAGATGGCCGGCCCGGAAAGAATCACCAACAAGAAACTATGGGAACAGACAAACAAAACAAGAACCCGACAAATTTGCAGGAGTATGTGGAGACGGATTGGACATTCGCTGAGGAGCCGGCTACTGGGTGACATCGCGCACACGTCAGGCCATTGCTTGAGTGGAACCAGCCCGAAAGGGAAGGGGTGAGTGGGACGTCAGTACAAGGGTGACATGGAGGAGGTCGTGTGCAGAGGAGTTGAAACAGTATGGACTAACATTGATGGATGCAGTTGAAAAGTGCAGCAGAAGACAGAGGCTAGTGAAGACGTGCAACTGAAGCCGTATATTCCACTAGGAACCCAAGGGAACAATAATAATTTTTTATTACAGCTTGATTCCACGCCGTATGATTTTGGAACAGGTATGAAATTTTCAGCATGTGATATCGGTAGCCCAGACCGACCATAGATATCAGGTGAGCGTCTGCAGGGGATCGTACTTCGGACCAAGTTTATGGTCGGCGAGAGTCCTAACCACTATGCCACCGACGCACATCTGGACTCATGACACAGTACAGTCCTGATTGCTTATTTGTAATAATCAATATAGACAAATTACCAAGACGTATAAGATGTAGTATGATATGACTTTGTTAATGTGTGTCATCGTGATGACAGTTTCTTCATACACTGACAACGGAAGACTCATCGAAGCTGAGTTTCTGACTGTGATCAACTACATCACGCAGCATACGCTGAGGAGTTAGAAGAGAAGGGGATATGTCTGACCCACAAAGAAGTCCTAAAAAATATGAATTTGGCAGCGCGTTTATGTACCATTTCGTAGAAAATCGAAGTATCAAGGTGAGATACACACAACTCGAAGAAAAACTCCAAGGGAGGACCAGCTACCTTTTATTAATACCAAGCATTTGACACTTAACGACGTATGTCTAAATCTTTCCAGTGACAATATAGATCGCATCACCAGTAAGTGTCGTTCGGAACATTTGAACCAATATTCTGGCGTGTAATTAACATATATTTACGTCGTACCAGACTGTAGTTTCTCAGGTATATCCACTATGCGGAATACACTTCTTCCACGCTCTCAGGTTCTCTATCTAAAGTCTGTGAGGATTTTTAATTTATATGATCACATACTGACTAGATTAACTGATCAATAAGAATGCTATCCTGATTACTGGTCGTCTAGTTAAATGACCAGACCTCGCATCCATGAATAATTTTTTACAACCCGAATAGTGTTGTAAGTGATTTGTTGCAGTCTGAAATTAAAGTTGTTCGCAACCACCTGCATTCGCCTAAATAACAATTTTGTCTGCGTTTAGTCAAGTGCTCATGCAGAATGATCATCCAAATAGAAGTCCTCTAAGAATTGAATGCATTTATACCTTACTTCTTGCTCTCATGATTTTAGTCAAACTTTCTAGCGCATAATATATGAAGAAGTATGGCGAAGAAGGCTTGGGTAAATGAAGAGTCAAATGATAATGAGGGGTGTTTACCTACCATGACAGACGGTAGGCATTTGTAATACATTCTACGAGCTCTATGTGTACAACATTTATTCCATTGTCAGTGAGTGGTGTTTGAGATACTCTGCAGCGGAATTTCAACAAGCAAAGAATTTCGCCACTGTGGTAGATTATAACTTGACAATCAGGTAACTGGTAAATTCATAAAATACACAGTCAAGCATTATTATTTACTGAAAACGTTTTGTCAAGATTTCAGTGCTGGTTATCATATAAAAGCTGCTACATGTTTTTCAAACCCTGTTCATATATAACACCGCCATCTCTTCTCGTCGGATTTTACTGGTAATACGATTTTCCTGCATATCGCATAAAGAAGAGGTGTCATTTGTATCGCATGTACTCGACATATTAAATTCAATAGCAAAGATTCGGTGATCATGTCAATATGATACTTCTTAAAAGTGTGACATTACCTCACCCCAATGTGTGTGTGCTTGTGTGTGGGTGAGTGCGCAATGATTACTAAACTTTCCTCAGAATTATTCATTTTCCTGAAGTTATTCAATCTCTACACTCACTTAGCTGAACTTCTATCTCCCGATAACCCACACTGAGGTGATATGCAGGTGTCAAGTGTCTAATCACGATCTCTTGATATTTATGTCCCGAAACATCCTCTCCTATGAGTTGTCACTGGACTTCCCAGTTAGACAAATTCATATTGTTGTGTTAAAGCCACATTCGTGCGTTATTCCCTAGCAAGCTAGCATGTATCATCTCTTGAAGAAC